ACCATTTCAGTCCCATTCCCCTTTTGGTGGTGAGACAAGAGAATTACGCATAAGCTGAGCCCACTCGAATTCAGTGAACTTGTCTCTTTTCTGGTTTATCAGAAATAATAAAAACCTTTTTAAGGTAGACCCGCTCACTGCTTCGAACTCCTGTACAGCAAAGCATTCGGAACAAACACGTATTCGGTCTGAAGGATCCAACTGTTCGTTCTAAGCGATTAACGATCTGTAATGCATATCTAGTTATAGGAGATTCAATCAGGAACTAAAATATATCACACTTTTTTCTTAGAAAATCGGCTGTTTACATTTGTAACACTTAACAAAAATATTATTGAGGCATCTGTTTGACCAAGTCAAAAACATCTGTTCAAAGCTGATAGCGTTTTTCATTCGCGTCAAAATGCTATCAAAAACAATACCCGTAGTCAAGTTGTTCATGGCAAAGTGTCGAACCACTCCGAGTCTAATCTCTTTCTAATTATTACATTTCAGCGTTTTCCAAAACGGACACTTTTTTTTGGTATTTCTATTTTCCAATTGAATGCTTGGTTGGGATGGAGGTCAACTAATTCTAAGTCCTTACCTAAAAGGTCAAGGGAGCTCTGCTTTGGGCTTCCTTTAGGCTTTTTTCCGGGCTTAGGCTGATATCAGGAGCACTTCTTATCCGCTCATAGTACGTGACCGTGAGTTATTTCCGAGATTTTTTGAGAGATTTAATTTTTTCAGATCTATTCCTTTTCTGAATGGAGAACACTAAGTCAACTCTATATTTTGAAAGACCTTATCTTTTTACTGTCAACTCTAATCCAGAAGCCGTAACAATTGGAATCATTTACTCCAGCCTGGCATTCGCTATGATTCCTTTTTATTGCATATTCAACTGGGTGAGATTTAGTTACACCTTTATCTTTGCTTAATATCAGCATCTTGTTGACCAGGTCACATTTGTTGGTGAAATATCAAATAACTTCCTCAATGAAAAGCTTTTCTGTTCTCCCATTCAATTCATAACAAAAGGCAAGCGGTTATCTAAGTGGCAGATCCCACAAGACAGTTGACAGTAACGAACCCTTTGGGTTACGGCAACAGAATCTCCCACTCAAACGTCACCGTGTTGAATTTCGTGAGTTCTGGGGGAAAACCAAAATTTATTAGCGTCCGATACCGAATACTTCAGCTACCCGAAAATTTTTTGCTAATTCCTTTCAAGCTTCATCGAACAGATTTAGACGTAGAGACCCTTTTTCTTACAAGACTTTTCCTTAATAAATAAATATTTCCTTAACTGTTACCACTTGACCCAAAGGCACATTGCACGGCATGTTCTGCGCAATACCAGTGGAGCCGCCTCTTTTCTCTTTCTACTCCTCAATATTTGTAGAAAATCCATTGTTCTGTCATACCGCACCTTGCGTCAAGTTTTTATTGTGAGCTACGACTTCCAATCCGAGCTTTCTTTGTCAAGTCGATGTTAGAACCTAGCTTATGATACCAAAAATGTGAACATGGTCTCGAGTTCACGATTCAGCTAGCTCTATAGCAAAGAGTGCATCGCTTTCCTAGCTCTTCTCTTTCCTTTCCTTGACAGCTTCTGACGTTGTGCAACGGAGGAACAGGGAGTATGGAAATGTGAGAAGCAGTAAAATAAAGAAGAGCGAGGTGTCATCCCAAATAACTGTTTACAATGGTACAGTACTATGGTGCAGAACAGGTTGAAAGGAACTCCTTCTGGCTTGATGTAGCTTTTAAATTGATACATATGTTTCCCAATTTTGATCTTGGATTTGCTATTCAAAGCCAAGCCGTTCCGCATGCGAAAAACAACGAGCCCTTCTAGGAAGCCAACCCGTGGTGTTCCTAGAAGCGAGATTTCGTAAAGTATCTTAGCAGAAATATGCAACGAACCCTTTATGATCTATTCAATGCAAATTACAATTCTGACACATCTTATACTCCCAGGTGATCTTATAAAAGTTTTCGTCTCAGAAGATTGCCCCTCGCAGCATAGATAGGGAATGACAGTCATGTTTGGATTACCAGCAGAATTTCGAGCTACTTCGAGCCCTGTAGAGCTCTGCTGAAATATCCGGAGACCAGCTCACTAGCTTGGCTACACCAAAAAACTAAGCGGGTTAGAAAACATTGTCAAACACGACAAAAGGATCATTTCTATGTTTGATGCTTGAGCTTCCTAATAGGTTTTGTTCTTTGCCAACTACAAGAAAAGGAAATCGCTTACACTCGCTCCTAACTGGATCTTTAAGAAACTCCTCTTTACGATTTACTTTGACGAAATTTACATCCTACTAACATAATCGGCTACGTATGTCTGTTGGTGTGTTTCTGTGTGTGTTTTTGTATGTGTTTGCCTGACCGGAAATTCATAACTCCTGTCCCACTGGACCTAGGGCAATCCAATTTGAAAGAGAGATCGGGGGCAGGATGTGAACACTGATGGCAGGTGATAGGAAGTGACAACTATCGATAGAAACTGATAAGGAGCCTTAAAAGCAAAAGCCTCAGGATCCGAACTACCTTCGTATTAGCGGTGAAGCCTTGGCACTTTGATAGGTGGTGTGGGATGTGAAGATACCGTTAGGGATTGATGACAGGGATGATAACAACTGATAGTGGCTGATAACGAGTCATAGAAGGCGAGAGCAACTGAGTCTGAAATGCACTTTCTGTTAATAATGGAATCTTGGAATTTTCCTAGGTTATGTAAGATGTGACGGATCGTAGGTACTCGGTGACGGGATCGAGAACGTTTGGTGCCAGACCAGGAGCTGATAAAACTGATAAGGGCTGATGAAAATCCTCGAAAGCGTAGAAGCACTATAACAATGGCGTTAATAGTGGAGCCTTGACAGTTTGGCGTGTGATGTGGAGTATGGCGGGGTCGTAGACGACCGATGATAGGAACTGATGACAGCTGATAGCGACTGATCACAGCACTTACCGACTGAATTTAACTCCTGCGGCATTTACGATGTATTCATGATTACGACTATTATGTAGATTACGACCGCTACACAGCAAGGTTTGTAGCTGTGGGAAGATCAGGGTTACTTAGTGTTTCGATATCATTTACGACAAAGCTTATTCTTGATGTCACCTCAATTCTTTGGTTGCCTATCAGTTAAACCTTTAATGGTTCATAATTCTCAAGATGAAGAGCAATCGATTGACACTTTTAATCGTAGGCGTAGGCGTAGGCACGTGGTGCACGCATTGGCGTGCGTAGCCCAACTGGTGAAATGATAATAATATGATGTAACACTGATATGATATGAGAATAATATTAGGGTGTTCCAAAAGTTTTGAGAAAGTTTTGGCCATGAGTTTCGCAACCATGTTGCGCAAGAAAGCGCCGAAGCAGACCCACGGAGAAAAGGGCAGGAGAAGGGCACTCTTGGTAGATCGTCAAAACAAAATAACATTATTGCACTTCATCTTTGGAAAAGAGTTATCATCATTTGAACTATGTCCAACCGACACGACTACCGAAACCTTCTGCTTTACCATTACGAAACTGATCACTTCGACACTCAGGCTCGGAATGAGATATGGTGACTAAATGGCAGCAGTGACATTTTCTTGTCACCTACCATAAATGGCGCGACCGCTTCCTCTCAGAAGAGATTTGCTTCGACGAAGTTTGTCTAAGCGAACGTCCACTGTCCTCAAATACCGTCACTGTTCTGGCCTCCCGTCAGAGCGATCCAACTCAAAGTCACAGGATATGGAATAGACGGTGCCTACTCCCTATCCCAACATTCATGATGTTCGACGCAAAAGTCGCTTTTAAAGCAGGACTCTTTTGAAGTAACGCCCATTCCTTGGCTGAGCAGCAGCACGAGTGCGAGTCAGTGTGTACCAGAAGCTTCTCGACTGTAAGCAAACGACGACTTCATCCGACTTAATTATTGCTCACAATAAAAAATTGGTATCATATGAAAATCCACACAGGAAGTCTCAATGCCTACCAGTGAACGTAAGGCCACAGCTCGCTACAAAGCGAGGAGATACGCCAAGAAGGGCATGAGCTCATTCTTCCTCTGCTCAACCGGGTGTTTTCTAGGAGATCCCCTACCAGGGTGTACAGTAAACGCAGGAGTATTCTGTTACCGGCTGAGAGAGATGGCGGTTCGAGCTCAGATTTCTCACCGGTTACAGTAAAATTTTCCATTGTGATGGGTAATGATGGACCACCCCAGGCGAGAAAGTCGATGAATGAGCTGGAAAGACCTGGCATTACCTGACTACCCCGCTCCCCACATATTCACCTGACCTCATCCCACATGACTACCATACTTTCAGAAGCCCACAGACCTGCTCTACAGGAAAAAAATTCACCAACTGTCGAGAGGTCAAGTGGGTGAGATGATTGAATTGCGTCGTGCCTCTCTTCGAACTGGGGGAATGGCGGCAATGCCTTGTTCGGTTGATGGAGAGACATTGTGGCTAAGAAGGGCCACTGTCCTGAACACTGATCTAAGTTTGCTGCTGCAGTTATTTTGTGTTGAAAAAAGCAGCCGAATTTTCTCAAAACTTTTGGGACACCCTAATATATGTACAGGATGAGGAAAAATCGTGGAAACGAATCTTGGCCGCATTACTCCCCATCACTACATAGGAAGCTTCCGTTTATTGACTTTCTGTTTTTATTTGTTTTGTTTGTTTTTATTCCGTTTTTATCTGACTGACTGTGAACTCGACCTCTAATTACCACAAATTCTGATTCGCCCGTTAACAATGAACCGTCCTTCTGCTATAACTCTACCGTCGGTTGACGTCATCGAAAATTCCGAACGATCAACATCTCTGGAGTGTTTGAATGTGTAACGAATTGCTGTTTCAAAGACTATTACAAGATTCACGGGACTGGCAAAAGTTTCTGCTTGAACCAAGCATTTTCGAGGCAATTATTTTCTTTACATGAATTTGAATCATACAATAATCATTGAGGTGATCGATTCTAATGAGTAATTAAGGTGATGTGGACGGACCCAGAAATCAAAAACATGTCGATGTATCGGTTAATGAATCACATTAACTTCATTGACTTCCTTCAACTACTATGCCATTTCGTTAGTGGATTTTTCGCAATTTATCCTGAAATTATTCAACGCTCTCGCTTCTTCTCAAGTGTAAGTATCAGTCTTGTTACTATGTATGACTTCATGAATTATTCGATAACATAATTTCCCCTTACTGGATTGTTCTTTACACCTGTATTCCTCATTGAATGTTAGTTTCCATGGCAGTTTAATTGGCAACTAAAAATAGAATCAAGTTTGTTAATGTACACAAAGAGTCTTATGAAAGAAATTCTGACTGCCGTAGAAGGGTTTGATACCAACGACAAGAGCTTTCCATATGTAGCCCAGCCTATTTAGCTCGGAGCCTACCGTGTAGAGTAAACTGTTGACTCTTTCTGCGCAACATACTATATTGAAGGGGATCTGTAGCCGACATAACCGAGCACCGAACGGAAGTCGCTTATAAGCGTGTTCTTGGCTAATCTTCGCTGCTGTGCACTTTTGGCCCACCCCCATAAGTTTAACCANCAGGAGCCGACTTCAGAGACGAATGAATAAGCGAAATTACAGCGCTCCACATGAATTCGATTTATCCGAATGAATTCGAATTGTACGATTAGAATTGATTCGAATTTCGTGCCATTCGTCATCGGGACACATAACCATCAAATCTACTACTTTGTAAATGTAGAAAAACCGAACATTCCGTCTGTACGATTCGGTGTGGTTCCAATGACGCCTGTTCAGGACCAATAGCAACTTCCAAGCAAACAGTCGAGATTGCAATTTATTGGTGGTCACAGAGTTCATTTCAGTTTATTGGATCAACTGTGAACAGTCTGTGGCAAGCGATGTTTCCATATCTTTTCGTGCTATCTATCAGCCGCATCCTTATAATCAAAAAGAGAATGGATCCAAACAAACTATCTTTACCTATGCTAGTAAGTGATTATATTACAAATTTCACCTATCTTCTATCCTGGCAGTGGCTTTTTTCTCCTCCTCCTATGAAGTTTCACCCCTTTACTTTCACATTACCATCACGGACAACACAGATTTCTTTCGGACTGTCGCAGAAAGGGCGAAGAAGAATGAGACATACTGGGTGAAGTGGGAATTCATTATAGCAGAAAATTTTCAATGAGGTGCCCCAACTGTTTGATTGCCCCAACGTTTTTCACAAAACAGTTTCATGCTCTGATTGATAGTCCTTGCTATTATTTCGCCTGTAGAGTCCAACTACGGGCTTTTATGGAATTGAGATGACCTTTGATCTGATATTCACTGATTGTTCTGTTCCGTTTCAGGTTCTGAGAAAGACAATACCTCAGAAAAAAAACTGGCAAAACCTAGCTAATAGAGCTTTAATAACAACTTTGTTAAGAATAAACTACATCGAATTTGCCCACAGACTTTTGTCAGGTGAATATTCAGGTACCAACATGAACAACAACCAGACAAGTCATACAAACAACTTTCGTGACAAACAGCTAGACAGAGAAACTTTTAATGGATTTCAATCACCAAACTTTATAGAAGGGGTTAATGCTTCTACCACAGTGGCATCATCTTGTTGCCAAATATAGAGGCTTTCAAAACTTCGTATATGGGTTAAGTTGGACCGCAAAAGATCCCCCAGATAGTAATCACTATAAGGAGAATCGTCATAAAAATCGACAATTTATTTTCTTAACAAGAGACATCGCATTGTAACGTTCTATCAAAAAAAGGTTTGTGACCCAAGCAGATAGCATACGAAAATGAGAGATTTAATGGAATTAACCATGGAATTTCTACCAGCGCTATTAATCTTGCTCCGGTATTATGCACACCACGATTCTGCCGATATGATGCGCTGTTTTATGTCCAATTACATTTACGATTTTTAGGTCATTTTGATTGTTGGGTGGCTATTCACAATTACTGTATGGTTATGGTCTTGGTTTGGTATGGCCTTCGTATTTGGCAGAGTTGGATGGGAGTACGATTTCTCGATGTGGAGCTCTCCTTATTTGAAGGTAAAACAAAACTTTGGCCTAGACAAAAGTCGAAATGAATTTTCTGATTTTCATATCTTTTTGATGCTACATTTGTTTTACATAGCCTGTAAGATAAGATCCCATCAGAATTCTTTTCACATGCCGTGTATTGCATGGGTATCGATTAGATTCAAACTTGGCTGCAAGATCGAGAAAAACTGGCAAAATAGGAAAGTCCTAGCACTTCTCATAAGTTGTAATTCGGTCATTGACATTGACAAACTGATTTTGATACGCTCATACTCGCGATGGAAGTAGCGTAGTAGAAGTGGAAGTCGAAACATTTCGAAATTTTGGGAAGCAATCTGATTAGTAGGACTCCATTAGTGGGCTATAAAGTGACTATGAATCATCATATGTACCATAGACTTCCCATTCTCGAGCACGAGTGATGTATAAAGCTATGTATCCAGATCTTCTTCTTTTTCTCATTAAACGTTTGTCCGACTGGAGCGTAGTTCGCTATTCAGACCCGCTAACGCCATTTTAAGTGATTAAATGTTTCGGTGGTATAGAGGCCAACTATTCCAGGGATTTCGTACAATGTGTCATGAAAATGCTGCTTTGCACATTCCTCGAAGGGCACATCAAAACTGGCGTTCGAGGACGCAATTTTTGAGCCGTTTTTGAGCTCGTTCAAGATTCACAACCTTCAAATGGAACAAAGTCAATCGTTGGAAATTACGTTCCGTGTCATTTACGAAACCCTAATGATAAATTATTTAATAATTTTAATGGCTTTTCTTGTTTCATAAACTCGTAGGAAACCGCGTTTTCCCCGTTATCTGTTCTAATATACATACAGTAGCGCATAAAACATCTCGGCCAAGCGCTTTTTTAGCTGTAACTTTTTTCTCAGTTGCATAAGCATATTTCACACTATCCAACACTATTTGACTGCAAAGCAGCAATGTCCACGTAACTAAGGGAAAGGCGTTTATAGACTATGCCGAAAGCAAGTTTGTGACGTCTGCAATTATTCGCACCTTATGTGCGTTTTTCTCATCTATTGTGTTTGGCATTAGCGCTCGTACACTTTGGACATAGCAAAAAGGAAAGAAATCCCAGAAGGTCCATCATCTGTATTTCCAATTGATTTTAATTTCAAGCTCTTTGGGATATTTGGGACATGATCAGATTGAGGGTCAATAGTGGTAAATATTCAAATTACACTCATGCTACACATATTGAAATTTCGCATGGTTAGATCCAGCAGGAAAGGAGTTACGATCGAAAGTAGCATTTGGCCGAATACATACTTTTGAGCGCTACTGTAAGTCCATATTTGAAAGTGTCGAAGCCATACTGATGATTCACGCACAGTTGTGAAGATATTCAAGATTTGCACTGTTCCTTTTTTAGTTCATTGAACTCGGATGGTGCGTGCCAACAATTTTGTCTTCCTACCTCATTTACCTGGGAATAATTGTTCATTTTGTGTTGGTAAGTCTCAACCATATTATTAGTCTATAAGTTTTGAATATTCTCATAGATGCCTGGTCTAAGTCTCTATTGAACGACTAATTAGATGAGCATTTGCTTTTGAAGGAATGCTTTCATCAAGATCCTTCTTGCCCGAATGGCGCTGATGTATACGTACATCTCCCTCTCCTTTCTACCAGCTCACTGGCTTGAATATTACTTTGTGATTTCAGAGTTTCCTCATTTTTTCTGAATAATAATATGCACGATCCACCCCACTCATGTTTCTAAACAATCTTCCAAATATTGTAGTAAATGTTGCGGTATATGATCAACTCTGATATTTCAGAGCAAAAGACATGTGAGCTCAGGACGATCGCATCGACGTGAGATTCTCATATTTTGTCAGGCAACATTTCTTAATGGTTGGATGCTTGGGTTGATGACAAGCTGGCATGGTTCAGGTGCAATTTTAATCTCTTACTCTCAAAACAGGGGAAACGTTCTTAACTGGAGAAGATTCTACGCCTTTAACAGGGATATGATGGGCAGCTCTGATCGTACTTTGTGACCGAGATGAACTACTAAATCAGAGAGAATAATTAGATTACCATATCTTATATAAGTACTAATTTTCAGCATTGTTTGGATTTACGAAAGATTATCATCAATGTGTCATCAATTGCATATGGATTTTGTTCTCCTACCTGAATCCAATACTTCTCATAGTGCTGAATAAGTAAACCATTTTTCTTCGTGACTACATGCAGCATAATTCCTATGCGCCTTTCCAACATTATTATTGAACATATTTTCTTTTCCAGAACGGTTAGGCGGAAATTTCTTCAATTCGTCACTTTCAGAAAGATGACTTCTCCGTCGCCTACGCAAACGGTTATTACTGGTGAATTTATTCGTCTTATGAGCTTCTTTCCTGTTTTATGGCTCTTATAGGTCTGAGGGCAATGCATAATCTGACGGAGGGATCACTTTGGGGGAGGCATCCATATAGGTAAAATTACATCACCCACGAATTGCGGCGCATGAAAGACGCCAGCACTCTGGTGTAGCCTAACGTTACGTTCGCCATGGGCAGTTTGACATTGTCGTGGTGGGGGACTATTTCGGCCAGCTTTCCACGTGTCTGTTTAATATGAGCCTGGAACCCTCAAGGTTAACGAACTCAATCCTGGGAGCTCGAGACTAGAGTTTCTCAACCGGATTCACTGGTTGTCTCCTCCTCGTTCCGTATCCTGTATCACGATTCTGAACCATGCCAATTTTCATCAGCTCCCATGTAGTAATGAAGTGGTTAGAGCTAACTGTGTACCTCCTCCATATGCTGTTATGAGATTGACAAGGGCTTGTACTGCTTTCTACTCTTGCTTGACACTGGATCCAAACCACCAAATTGAGGTATGGCGGCAAGGTTTGAAAACATCTGACTCGCATGTTATCCTTACCCCATAGATCATAACACCTATCAGTAGGAGAAAGGAAAGCAAGAAGGACCAATGCGTCAACCGAATAGACTACGAATTTCTCTGAGTTTTCATGGAACGTGTTTGAAAATGCGCAAGGAACAATGAAGGGTATCGGTATGAAGAGTATGAGTAGTCGTAGCTTGGAAGAATAACTATAGTGAAAATTGTTCAATAATTCAACGGAATCTAGAGACTGGCTTGTGATTCGACATTTTTTCAGTGCAATCCCAAAGTCGAGTTGCTACAGTTGGGTAGAAGCAAGAGCAGCTCTGAAGAAATCTGCAGCAGCTTAATCAATGGATTAACGTTGCACAGTGTCGACCCATGACACAAAATGATCATTTCAATAAATGTGACTTTTGAGATTTGTAACACACACTGAAAGCAACGTAGAAATATTGTCTTGTACTTGTACTTTGAAATCAATTTCCGTCGCCAGTATCATCAGAACTTGAGGAAAGTATCTTTGTGTAAGACAACCATTTTACGGTAAAAAATATGCTCGCAAATGAGCACGGCTTCAGATGTTTCAAATATGGTGGTGAAGCCTTGCCTGCAACCTTAAGCCTTGTTGCCTTCGCCAGACGGAAAAAGCCAAGAAGACATCCAAGAATATTTGAAATCTATCATCACTAGACAACCATATATCACGCCAATCGTGATGCAAAGATTTGCTGATATCATAGTTGAACATGAAGTCACGTGAGATGTTTTGAGCCTTTCCGAGATGAACATGAAGTCGTTCGAAATTTCAAAGAGAAGGATCGGAGACCCCTCATTCATGCTTCTTTCAATATTATCTCACGATATTATCTCACGAAAACCCCTGACTGCGAAATATGTTTGAATGAACAAAATTTCATTCTTCATCATGTCTCTGTTTCGTGATTTTGCAATATTCGCAGTTTTTTGTACCAAAGGCCTCACCGTGAGCCTGATAGCTTCACCAATATAGTTGGATTAAAGCTTGAGCATACTCTGAGGAATTTCCAGAAGCATACTCTGAAGGGACGGTGGAAGGGTGTCGGCTTTGTAGTCCATGGCGAATAGATCACAATTGAGTGCTTACCGCTACAGTGCTGAACGACCTTGTACCCGTTCGCGGTAGCAGTAGGTGGGAAAAAGGTAAAGCCCAATGCTAGCAGTTGCACCGCAAGGTCAGGCTAAAAACGCAATGGAACACTTGCTAGCCACGACCTTTCAGATAAACTGACTTAGCTTTGTCGTGTGTGATATGGCGTCTTTTTCTGTACTGTCTATGGTAGCAGGACATGATGAAACCTTCATTGAGGCATGCAAAGGCAATAATATAACAACAAACTGGAGGGCTTATATATGCCGCAAAGGAATTCAGAATCTCTTCTATTCAAGTGGAAATTGAGAGAATGTGAAGTATGTTTGGGTGAGTGAATATTCCTTTCGCTTGAATGATTCACGACGAGATTAGCTAGAAAGCTAAATCATGACTCTGGTACAGAAACTCCCGCGAGCAGAAGATAGAGGTTTTTTGGCATAGGCTTGGTAGGAAACATAGCATGATAAGTACGTGAAATAAGTGTTAGAAGGGACAATGCAATCACCAACGAGAAGACATATCTTAGTCAGATGAAGAAAAAAGGATTGCACAGAATAAGCGAGGCTTTGGACACCATTCGTCACCTTTGAGAAAACATCTGAGAAAATGGATATGTCAATTATGAGCTTCCGCTTTCATTGCCAACACTCCGCCCGGCATCTGTATCGATAACCCCATCATCGACATACGCAAGAGTTCCTTTTATACTGATGTTGGCACAGAATCCCTGTCACGACGCTGAGCAGGAGATGTCGACATTAGCGGTGGTAAAGTGAAACACGAGTTTACTTATGTGTGTGCGTGGAGTGCATTTTGCAATTTGGGTCTGATCGTGGCAGGCATTTGAAGCGGTTACCTCTCCTTCGTCGCTTGTGCAGGCGAGTTTCAGTGCTGCTTCCGTCAAACAATTATAACAGCTAATCAGGTCGCCTGTCTGAAATGTACAGGAGGTCTGATGTTGTTGCGCCATAAGCTCGAGACTGTCCATCACAATATGAATTTGAAGAACGGAGCCGACATTTAATTTCGCGAGAACTTGTCCACTGTTGCGAATGATGCGATGGTTTCTCCCTACTTGAGGTAAAAGATTAGGTTCCATTATTTCTTCCATATCTCCGTTTGGGCAGTTGCACGATACCTTCAAGAATCCAGAGAAGCATTTGCATGATTCGCTCACGAATGCGCATTTGAATTCCTTGGCGTCTTGTAGTGTTGCACATTTGAGTTGGCCTGCGGTTTGCGGTAATAGTTGTCCTCTCTGAGCAGATTTGATTATCGCGATGTTGTCTTCATTTTCCATAAAGGCCGAGCCACTATTGATAACTGAGGCAAGTATCGTGCCAATAAGAGTGAATCGCATGGAATTAAAGACGCCTGCGTTGAAGTTGGGCTACCTGTATTGTGAGCAGTTGCCGTTAGATCCCAGCTTGGGCAGTTGAAAACTGAATATACTGTCGAAGTAGTCGATTTTGGACAGATTCTGCAAAAAAAGGCAGCTGTGGAAGCAGAACACACAGTCACAGGATAACAAACACAAGCAGGTCAAGCCTGGATTAATATTTCCTGTAGAGGAGAATTCTTCTAATGTGTTCGCTACCTTGGTACTGTCGCTTTTTTTCAAACAGCTTCCGAGTAGCCAGCAGTAATGACTTGATTCAACAGCGATTTCGTGATCTCTTCTGAAAAATTCGACGCGATTATGACATTTGTATTCTATGTCAAGTAGAGTGATGGACATAGTGCCCATGTGCTCGTTGTTTCGGCCTCAGAGCTCCAAACATGCTTCTTGCTGTATGGCTGCATCGTTATTAACGTAGCCTGATTGAGGGTGCATGTTTTCGTATTCTTGGTTATGGCACAGATATTTTCGTCACCTGATATTGTCGTAAACTGCGAACATTCACTACGAACCGGATTTGAATCACGACCAAAACCACGCAAGTGGTGAATTTATCTAGCTTGGGCGATCCGTTGTTGTTGTCGTCGTCTACTAATGTTCCTCTTCAATTTGTTTTTTCTGTCCACTTTCCATGGTTGCTGCATGAAGTAGAGGAGTGGACGTGTAAGGAAACAAGCCATTCTGAAGATCAGTTTGACTAACAAACATAAGAACGGACTTACGGTCCCAACATAAGGAGCAATGTATTGCTTCACATATCGGATGAGCCTTACATTTTACATTTGTTTGATGGACGATGTGGTTCTCATGCCAGACTTCCAGACGAACTTCATAGTCGTATATGACTTGAGAGTTTAGAGAGAGTATTTCTTGTGATGTGATTTCTTTCAGGAACGCACGAACCCGATCCTCTCAAAAGAGGAGACTAGGTTCTCATAAACGATCCCAATCTCGATCGAGGGCAATGGAAAATTGGTCAAATCGTGGAATTCCGGGAGGAATTCGAACGATCAGTGGAAATACGGTGGCCATCGAGGAAAGTCATCACAAGACCGCATAATCTGATCTACAAATTGGTAATACCTACACTGAC